TCTTGTGCTTTAAAATGTGCTAATGGACACTAATACCTGCACTTTCAGAGCTGCAGGGGGCTTCTGATGCCAATTTCAGCATACTGAATTTGCTTCTACTTATGATATTTGGGAAAACAACATAAAAATATTCTTGTTACATTTGAGTTCAGTGGAAAATCTCCTGCCAACCGAAGTTGCCAAGGCAGGGCCTGAAACCATAAAGCAGCATGAGACCTATGGTGGCATGACACACAAAGAGGCCGTCCTGGGAAGCACACAGACATAGGGGCTTAAACTGTGTTGGTTGAATATAATTTCTTCATTTTCTGTCTACAGAACAGTACATCTTCCACGTGAAGTTGAAAGTCTGACCCCTGTTATCTCTATTGGTGGCAAAAGGAAACTGTATTGCCCCAAGAAGAGACCTTTCAAGTTCCATGATAGAAGAGAGAGTCAACTTCTGTATTGGTGCTATGAGTATATTGTGTCCCCATCTCAAAGCTTATGAAATCTGCTGGCCAGGAAAAGGAATGACATGGCTTTCCATCCTCCTGCTGCTCCTAGTCCTTTTTGGGTTTAGTCACTTATGATAAAGAAAGAGGCACTATTTTGCAAGTATCCCGAGAGACCTAAGAACTGTAGATCTTTAAAGCATGCGTAAAAAGCTTCCATCTCCCTATGTGTATGCAGGCCTAAGAGCTCATTGATTTGTTCCACAAGTTCAATAATCACTAATCTATCTACAGAATTGTGTCTGGAATACTCACAACCAACTTCTGGCATAAAATGTTAGCTACAGTGTATAAAGGAACCATGATCAACAGCATCGGGTGCTGCCAGAAGGATGCTTAGAAGATTATGATAAGTGACTTTGACCTCAGACAGTGTAGCACATGCTGTGAATAGAATACATTTGTTACTGTCTCAACAAAGTGATCTCTCATCCAAATATCATTGTCTTCTAGGGAAACAGGGAATCTCTGAAAGGGGAAAAAAAATTATCTGTAAATTGACTCTAAAAGAAATAGTACCAATTAGAGCTTTTATGAAAAATAAACTATACCTCGATTGGGTCCTGTACAAAATTTTGGAACCTCTGTTGAAAACCATGAAAAAATTTTAAGCTACTGAGGAATATCATACTTGAAAGGGGTTTTCTTGGTATCTCTCCTAGTTTTCAGATAGTCTTTCCAGCCTTTCTAATTGTTGTCTATGAAGTGAATATCTTCCAGAGCATAGTGAACTGCATGGTATCAGACTATTGGGGCACACACTACAGTGGTCTCAAACAGGTCAACCTTAGGACAACCACTTATCTAATCTTTCAGTCTTTTTAAAGAAAGACATATAATAATGAAGGTGTGTCCAAAAAGGGGATCGTTCAGACTGATACCTAAAACTCTGGTATGTTGTGAAAATCACAGACTCCTAATTAGGGTGTCAGTATTTTGTGAAGTTTTGTTAAGCTTTTAACAGTTTTTATTGCCTCTTTGATCATCCTGGAAAGTAAACAGTTACATATTGGATAACCATATGGATGATGTGTTAGTGTATTTAAAGAAGATTGCTCAGATGGCTCAGAGCCCATAGTAGCAATGCCAGGATTTTTATGCACTAAAAATCTAAACAAATAACTACAAGATGGAGGGAGCAATCACTGAAAGGAAAAAGTGAGCAATAAAATGTAGAATTCACCTTTACCATCAGTGACAGAGATTAAGGCCATGGGAGAAGTTATAATGTGACTTGTCATACTACACTTGGGCTGTGTCCCAATTAGCTTTCCACCTTCGGCAGAGAAAGTAGTATGGGGTGGTTGTTCCTTGTTCCCACTCAACAGTACTGGGCTGCCAGTGATCTTTTTAAAAGTCCAGGTTTCTGTCTCTGTTTTATATTTCTTCAATGACTCCAGTTGAACTTTCAGCAGAAGGGACGGAGAATCAGGTTGCACTTTTCACCACAAACCATCAAACCCCATTTCTCAGCATACCAATGTACCATAACAGCTTCTTACGATAACAAGGCCATTGAATAACCTGGCATGATTTTACTGGGACAGATGATGAGTGGTGGGAGGAAGGAAGGAAGCAGAAAGAAAGGTGTGAGGAATAATAGAAGGGAAATTCTTGAGTGACTGAGTAATTTCTTTAGGAAGACACTTCCTATATTTTTTGTTCAGTGCTTGAATGCTGCTCATGCAATATATACAAATATTCTCAGTCTCTTCAAGTGAAGAAGGACCCTGTAATCCAAGTCCACTCACTGAACTGTAAATGTAACCTCACTGAAGGAGAGGAACGGTTTGAAAGACTGACTCTTTCATATTTTAGTCAGGATTTATCATGATCTGTAAAGCACATAATTCTCATAACAGGAAAGCTTCAGTTGTTTTAAACCCTGGCAATTTTTCATTCGAAAAATACCCAGGCAGCAAGCCTTCTCTCAGATGAGATAGAGTGGGCTGTTTTATATCAGGAACTGTATTTCCTACTTTGCTTCATCTGCCAGAAATTCTCTTGCCAGAAACTCTGTCATTTCAGTTTTTATCTGTTTTTGAGGGGAAGTTAACCATCTCAGTAGCACCACCATCACTACAAAAAATATCTGCAGATAGTGAAAGGCTATGGAAAACTGATAATTGTACATGAATGCATAATTTTCCCCAGGCCATGATGAGTGATGATAAAATTGCCAGGTCCGTTTTATAATAGAGATGATTGTGGTATGGATATGCTTTAATATTGAAGTAATCTGTGGACAATTCTGAAACAACAAGGTAGCAAATAAGACTGGTCCATGCCTGTTACTACTTTTGTTGTGTTGGTATATAATTCATAAAATGTTACAGCCAGTACCATGTTCTGGTACTGGATCTGTGTCATTGAAGGAGCACACACTGGTTAGATTTTTCAATGTCTTTAAAAAATTAAATGTAATAATGAAAATTTTCATCATTTGGCTACAGGAGTCAGAGCTTTGTCCTTTTTTATTAGATTATGTGCACAGACCAGACAGACCTTACTGGGACAGCCCTTGCATGCATTTGATGGAGAATTTGACCAAAAGTGTTTGACATCCAAACAAGCTGAAAGCTTAAACACACGAGACAAAATTTTTTATACCATGTAATAAGAGTATTGCTGATTGTTAAATTATTGGTAGGCTGTTAGTAGAGAGTATTTGAATATAAGTGTGGAGCTGATCTTGCTGAGACTTCGTATGTGGTGCTCAGCAGAGATGCCTCTGTTTCATGCATTGCTAGTTATGTCAAGAATTACTTCTGTAGTGCATGGCATTATTCCAGATTGTATCTCAGTCAAATGGATTATTCTTCAGTGCAAGGCTTTTCTAGGGAAGAGAATATCCAGGGTCCAGATTTGAAGGCTCCGTTGCAGTTTTACAGAGTGCACCTGGGAAGAACGGTCCATTCTTTTTTTGCTCAAAGCCTGTAATATGTTTGCTGTCTGTGCCAAAAGGCAGTCAGCAAATGTTTGCAAAGCGAGTTTGTGGGTATGGATTAAAAAAAAGTAACCGAAGACAGACTGTGGCAGAGAATGAAATAACACATGACGTATCACTGCTTTTTTTTTTTAAACTTCAAAGTAAGATCTGTAGTGTGCTAATAACTTCATGGCAATGGTGACTAAAATGATTACTATACTTATTGTACATGCATTATAACCAATTTTTAAAGTGCCTAGCACCTATGCAAAAGGTTCTGTTACATTTTTACAGCAGTGATGATAGTAGTGGTAGTGGAGTGAGGTGTTGCAAAACACGGTGCTTGAGCAGGGGTGTAGAACAGACTTTCTGAAAGAACTGAAAACACTGCAAGACTAACAGGAAGCTGTTAATGCAGTATAGCTCTCACTTCAAATATAGAGAGCAAGTGATCAGAAATTCAAGCCCACTTGTATTCTTTATTATCTGAAAACATTTGTTCCCATTGAACTCATTTTTGAAGGCACTAGTCCTGCTTTTTACTCCAATATGCTCTCCCTAATTGACTGTATTTTTATTCATGTATGTATGTGAAGTCCTCCAAATAATGTAAACACAAAAATTTGGTGTAGAGAGAATTTTACTGAACACTAGATGTTAGCGTTCCAAAGGAGACTAGAGGATCTCCTGGGATTACTGAGTAGATGGGAGGAGTTGATTGCCTCAGGCATAGCCCAGGGCCATTAATTACAGCTAGTCATTAATTCTCCAGTAATGCCCTGTGCTGATGCAACTGTTCCTGTTACAACACAGAAATAGAAAACTGGCTGACCTGTAGACTTTGATGGGTTATGTTATTGTTATAATGAATACTTACATTTCTTAATGCTTATCACTGAAGTGTTCATCAGAGTTTCAGATTGTAGGCCTCATGTCTTTCCAGAGAGTTAATGTTTTGTTTGTTACTCACAGGAAGCCTTTAAATAGCTCTTGAAAACACTATAGCCTTTATGAGGTATGCTCTGTATATTGAATCCTGGGAAAGTAAAATTGATATAGATACTCCCTAAAGATAATCAGTATACCTATTTTCATATCTAGAGAAAATGAAAATTGAATATATGGTTCCCTTACCCTGTGGTTGCCATATAAGGCAAAGCTCAGTCTAAATTCCAAGGACCAAAAACTAAAGATCTAGTTTTTGGGTTGGTTTTGAAAAGAAAAAAATCCTGAAATTTTAATGAGTTTATTTCAATTCCTGAAGAAATGGTAATAAAAGACAGAATAGTTATAATTTAGAAGAATAGAAACCAACCATATAATATAAACCATTATAAATGAAATTCCATCATATGTTGTTTACATGCCCACTCATGTACTCAGCACTGCACAATGAAAGCATTGCTGCACTGATTGTAAAGTGCAGGAGGAAAAAGTTCAGGAGCAAGAGACAGCCCCAGCACCCAGCTTAGCAGATCATGTGAACACACATGACTCTAAGCAGCACTGAGTTTAGGTAGCAAACAGCAGCTGTGAGAATTTCCGGATTGCTAGACTTGCATGTCTGTTTAAATTATCTTACAATGTTTTTCTCAAGGAGAAAGTTATTCATCTGACCTTTTGCATAGAGTCCTTCTTCGTCAGGGATCCCAAAGTGTTTTACAGATGCAGAGATTTAGCGCTGACATGCACATGTCAGAGGGAAAATTAACAGACTGACGGCACCATGGTTGCACAGGATTTTGGTGGTGCAGAAATATGACTGCTGATGGGCTTCACTGCTGCTTTCCCTGAAAGGCCATACAGCAGCACTGCGCAGCACCCCAGTCGGGAAGCGTGAGATACTTTACTCAACTGAAAATATAGGTGAGTTGACAGCATCATAGCCTGTATGAGAACACTGCTAAATTACTTAGAGAAGAAGCAGCAGCTGAACTCTATAATTAGCACTTGTGGTGAAGACATGAAGAAATGTGAAATTCCAGCACTACATTGATTCCAAGAAACAGTGTATAATGTTATTTGAGGGTTGATTTAGGATAAATAACCACTTCCTAAGGTGTGTTTGTTCTCATTATTTACCCAGCTGGACCTTGTTTACTTTATGAATTCAGTATTGATCACAGGAGTGTGGGAGCATATTAAAGCAAAAGAGGATAGACTGCCTTTGTGTATACTGAAACGTTTGAAGTTTATAGAATATATGTATAGGAGAAGCTGTACTTGAAGTTCTGTAATCACAGTATGGTAGAAGATCAGCATATGGATTTTTCCCTCTACTTGTATGTTAAACGTCATTGACCCTAGTACCTATTTCATACCCATAGTGGGAGTAGAGCTTGAAGCCAATGTTCTTTCTTTTAAAAAAGACTAGCTAGAATTATTTTCCATTCAATTATGTTTGATAATTTTAAGATTTCAGAATGGGTGTTTTAAAAATGCTTTATGTGGTTCCTTTTCCTTCTCTTTGCTGTTACAATTTGACTTGCCACTGTGCAGGAGGAGAAGAGATGAGGGAAGGAGGAGGTAGTAGCCCTCTTTGCTGTGCCGATCTTCCCTCTTTCCTCTGGCTCTATTAGTTCTATGCAGGGCTTTCAGAGAAAAAGAGGGGTGGGAGGGAGGGAGGAGGGGAAAGAGGAAGAGGACAGGAGAGACGAAGTGAGAATGGGAGAAAACCTTTGCCCTCTGGCATCATTATGAGGTCAGCATGCATCCTTCACCCATATGAAAAACCCTGTAATATAAATTAGACCATTTTAGGGCATAATGAGGATTTACTCTTCTATAGCTGGGACTTGGCTAATAAAGTGTTAATTTCATTCTTCTGTGATCCAATCATTTTTAAATACTGAACATGTTAAGTAGTAATTGATCCAGCAAACGAGTCCCTTGGAGATTTGTGTTTACAATAATTCTGTGATCCAATAATTTTTAAATACTGTGATCCAGTAATTTTTAAATACTCAACATGTTAAATGATAATTGATTCAGCAAACCAGTCCCTCAGAGATTTATGTTTACTGGGTGAATCACAGGAACTGGCTTATCTTATGATCCTATTGTTTGGTGAAGTTATGGGTGAGGCTATATTGAGTACCCCTATTGACCAAAGCAGTCCTGCAGGCCCTTACAGAGAGTTGTTCTCAGTGACAGTGCATGCACAGTACTGAAGAATTCAGGTGGAGTTAGGGGTTTATCTCTTTATCTGGAAGTAATTTCCTCTGTTAAGATTCTTTTTTTCTTGACAGATCTCCTGTCTGTTAGCTTTAATCGTCTGTGGGGTCTGGAGTATTCCAGCCTTCTGTTACAAAGGTTATTCTCTAGATAGGAGTGTCTGAAATGGAAAGTGTGGAGCTCTGTGAACACATAGCAGAGCTGTGTGTGTTGTACACAAATGAAGGTCTGAGCTAGCAGTACATACAGAGACAACTGGAAACCATTGGGCTAAACCCATCCATAGATTGTAGTGACTTCCTGCTCCCTGTCTCAAATATTTCAGAGAGGTACGAGCAATTCTTACGTGCTGTTCTCAAAGAGACATCACAGCAGTTTGATGGTGACTTACTGCTATTTGAATTTATCTGGTTTGAGTTTCCTCTTTCTTTGAAAGGACTTAAACATTTTTTAAACTTCCTTCCTGATGTTTGTCTTTTTTCCAGATTCCAAAATTAGATCAAGTCACATTTCCTCATGGAACTTCGGCTTCAAGGAGGCATTGAGCTATTGCAGCCCCTAGTCTGAAGGTTCCTGCTCCAGTGGATGACCTGCGCTGTCATGCACAATATCCAAAAACAATTGGACAATGGCAAACTTAAAAAGTTAATGCATGTCCTGCTTACTGTCCCATCCCCCTCAGCTTGTGCTTTCTGACACTTGCTTGATGTTGCCGAGTCCTTTTTGTTGAAAGTGCTGTTTAGTCCATAACTTGCCTGCTGCATTCTCATTTGACCTGTTAACTGCTAAAGCAAAAAAAAGTTATTTTAAGAATTGGCTTGTCAAAGAGAGCATATCTCCTCCCTTCAAAGACCTCTGAAGATTAATGTTTGATTAAAATGTGACTGCAGCATTAAAATGGGTGCCCTGTGTCTTTTTACAAATGAATGCTGGCAAACTTGTGTACTGTCTAGTTTTTAATTGGCAAATTATTCAGTTAGTGCTTCAGGGGGAGTTGCAGGGGAGGACAAGGAGTTAGATGATTTTTAGATACATTCATTACCACTTTTATCCTTAGAGATAGTCTGAAGATGGCTACATGCATCTACAGATTCAGTTTAAATTTCTTCTTTGGAAATAAATAAGAGCACATGCTCTAAATTATGGAATAAAACCCCAGGTCCTCACTTGGGCAACTCCATATCAAAACCAGGAGGCTGGATTTATGGTCATTCAATGGTGGCTGTACCTGTGACCCATGCAGCTGCTGCACTGTTATTTTTGCCTGCCTCTGTTTGTTTTTAAATTCCAGTAAATGGCTGCTGATGAAATCTGCTCTCAGGAAGATTTTGAGTCCCAATGCCTGTCCATTTTTATACTCTGATGGATCAGAAGACCAGCCTAATATTTAGATATTACTATATGCTCTACAGGATACTCTAGGACAGTCCATATGGAGAGGGAAAGTAATGGGTAGACTCAGTGTACAGTTACCTAGATACTGTAGCACTGTTAGGAACACTTATTATCAGTCTGCTGCAGAAAATACCATGGAGTAGAGTATCAGGAAATTGAAAGAAGCACAGCTTGAATCTGTTTAATTTCACTTGGGAGTTTGAAAGTCTTGATAGCGCTTTGTAAAGAGAGGAGACTGTTCCATTTGGTGTGTATGAGTTTGATATTGCTACCTTTGCCTCTGTAAGTAGTGTAATCCAATGTTAGAGCTCATGAGAATTAAGATAATTCTCAAGAGGACTCCAGAAGCAGCCTTTGACTGTGTCTGTTGTGTCAGTGTGGGGCTCCTGTGAAGGTCTTTCACTAATTTTCTTGTCTCAGTAGTTGTGTGCTGACTTTTTATTAGAAACAGAACAGCAGAAAATATTGTAAAATGAAAGAATAAAGACTGAAGAGCTGTTGTTGTTTCCCAAGGACTGTCTTCCAAACTAGGAAAGGTGGTAGAAGTGAGATATCTGGGCAACCTCTTGTACCTGGATTCTCCCAGCCATGTAGACAGGCAGAGCACTATGGGTGGCAACTGCAGTCGGTGTTTTGTTTTGTTTTTTATGTGCTTCATGATCTGGAAGACAGTTGGGAATGATTGATTATTCTGGATATTCATCTTCATAGAATTTGAGACAATGAGACATTGCATGAAAATTCAAGGCAGACAGAAGTCAACTGTCATTTGAGCTTTTCTTTCTGTGGAAAAATTGTTTTTAATTAGAAGAAAGACCATACAGATACGTCTTGAATCATTTTCATGTTATGTTTTTCTTTTCTGGATGATGTTAATTAAATCAGTTCAGTGAGGTATTCTGAAATGCAGTATGGAGTAGAGTGTATGCAGTATGTACATACATTTGCATCTTTGCTTCCATTGAGGGCTGCTAAACTTAAATTTCTAAGATGTAAAAACAACTTCATGTAACAGTGGAAAGCAAAACCAAGTGCTGTGTTGCTTTTTAGAGGTTTGTACTATGCTTGGTTACTTTTATAAACGTCTAACTGGTCTATGCAGAGAAGTGTAGATAGTTTCTCATGTTACAGAGCAGAGGCAAATTTTGTCTCAACACTTGCCTTGTTCCTTTCTGGGTGTTCTTTCTCGGCTGTGTGACAGTTTCTAAAAGACACAAATCTCTTCACTGATCCTGGTTCACGGTATGGCAACCTTTGCAGACCTGGCCAAGAAGATGACATGTTGGGCACAGGAGTAGGAGCCAGTGGCTGGCAGGGCACAGGCCATTGTTGTGTGGAATGTTTTGTGTTGTGGAACCATGGCAAATAGCCATGGGCTGCACGGGAAGGTGTGAAGGGCTTGGATATAATCAGGATTTGTGCTGGTTCTTCAAAAAGGGAATTCTAAGAGGTCTAAACAGACTAACATTGTGTGTTGCCACTCAGTATCATCAGTGTCTGCTACAAAGTTGTATAGCTGGGAATACAGGTAATTAGGTGCTAATGAAGATTGACTATAGTAGGGAGGAAAAAGGGTCTAAGAGGGTTACAGGAGGGTGGTATTGAATAAGTACATCCATTACTGACTTAAACTCCTTGAGAAGTACACTAGATAGAGTAGTACCTAATAAAAGCTCAGTGTGTGAGATGTTTGTTGAAGTAGCAGTTATGATGTTAGGGGGAAAAACGTTTTAAAAAAATGTTTTGTTACAACTTTTATTTATCATTTCAAGGTTAGAAACAGGTGAAGCTGCAATGATTTCTATAGCTAACATGAAAGTCTCAGTGGGTTCATTCCTCTACTCTCTCAGGACTTCCTGATTTTAAGAAGTAGATTTGGTTTTACTAATATTGGGGATTTCTGTCACACCTTAAAAGGACACAGAAGGGAGGGACTTGGTTTTTCAGCGATTTTCAAGATAGATTTTGGAAAACACATCACAAAAGTGTTTTGAATCTGGCCAGTTCTTACTGTTTCATTGCAATGCCCCTTGGGCTGGTTGTCTTCCTCTTTGTAGGGCTGGTTCTCCTGGAAATGTATATGATTGGTGATATGGCCCGGTAATGAGACATACGCAGTAGTACCTCATTAACATTAACAGCTGGTGCTCAATATCAGCTGTATGTATCATGTACCCTTGTAATTTAAATTGTAATGTTGTGGAATAGCAATAGCTCAGTAAGAATGTATTAAAAAAAATGCACATAGTAGATTAAATTATTGGTCTAACCAAAGTGTTACTGGTTACTGCTCCTGGTATGTTGTGCTGGATTTGGACAGAATGGAGGCCTGTGATGAATATACAGTCCCTTTGATGCTGCTGGACAATAAATTTTTTAGTTATAATGCAATTGTAATTAAAATTCCTCCCAGTCTTTCTTTAGTGGTTTCCCATATAGCCAGGAGAGCCTTGTCTATCTCTAGTAACCTTTGCACCCAAGTTCCTGTTTTTGTGCCAGCTTGCTCACCCTTAGCCATACTTCTGTCCTTGGGAGACAGCGCTGGCTTGCCGGACTGGAGTTGCCCTGGATAGCCCAGCATAATGGTTGAAGTTATGGCTGCTGTTTCAGAAGCTGCCACTGACATTAAACCAAACAGAACTGGCCCAGCACTTACTACTTTGGAAAAGCCATCCTCTTTGGAAAAAGCATTTTAACTCTGAATAAAACATTGGGTTGGCTTTTAGCTCATGAATAGCACTTTATTCCACTTGAATAAATATCAGTACCGACACGTAACCACATCATGCCCTGACCTTATGTAAGTGCATGGCAACATTCCAAGTTAATTTTGGCTATTATTTCCACAAACATGTTGGACAGGCTTTTGTAGGCATTTGATTCCCATTTAGGTAGTGCTTTAGCAGATGGGCTGTAAAACAACCTGACAATTATCGAGGCTCCATGGACTGATTAGTTCTGGCTTCAGACACTAACAATATCTCAGATACTTCCTTCCTAGGCTCCTCCTGAAGGCTTTGCATTTTTAAGGAGCATGTGACAAATGAGTGCTAACAAATGACTGAAGAGCTAGAATTTTATGAAAAGGTTTTGAAAGCAACATTGCTTTATTAACAGGAAAAGTTCAAGCAATTAAAAATCACTGGAAGACAAATACCTTCTGATCTTACTTTTGTTCTTCACAGTCCATGAGGAAGGGCTGTCTACCAGTGTGTAATCAGGGAAACAAGTTTTCTTCTTGCCTCACTGGGCCCATGTTTGACCAGTCTGCTTTCTGCTTGGACAACTGAGTGAAATACCTTGGACAACTAAATGAAGCTTCTAATGCTACTGTAAGATCACTCCTGGCACTGTCCCAGTTGGCATTTGCTTGGCCTTGCCATGTGCTGTCATTGCGAAGGTGAACTTCACCATCGTGGTTCTACTTTTTAGGACTGTGCTGAAATAGGAGGTCATCTTCATTTAATCACCCTCTTATTGGAGTTGGAGTATTGGTAAAGATAGATCTTAACCTCACATGGTAGCTCCAAGTTGTCTTATGCTTCTAGTGGGATTCTTAAGAGGCACAGCACTTAGGTAGCTGTTTCTGAATGCTTTATATCTTTAAATTATGTTCCTGGGTTCACTGAATGCCACTGCAGTGCAGTTTCTGCAATGCCTATGTTACTGCTCTAAATGCAGTGTGGTTAAGTCATTCTGGTGCTTTGGGAAATTTTGTACCTTCAGCTCGCTTGCTGGTTAAATAGGGAAGGCTATTGTGTTGTAGATGCTTTGTGTAGGCTATCACCCAAAATATTAATGTGTGGAGACATAGACTCCTGCCATATTTATCTTGACATTTTTTTATTTAATGTAGGGAAAAGCAGATCGAGATTCATATTAATGTTTGACAAAATGCCCTCTCTCAGTGCTCTGTTGCTATAGAGCAGTCAAATCCCACATACTTTACTATGCTCTGCCAGGAAGTCTACTAATCTTTCATATAATATTTAATAGGTGTTATAGCCAGTGCTGCTGAGTTGTTTTCCATACAGGAGGATTCTCAGCTATTTTTTTCTGCTGCCTTTGTAAGACTTGCACTGTTTTTTTCTACAGTGTTGTAGATAAAGTAGGAAATTACATACTCTTGTTTATTGAGCAGAGAAAGGAATCTACTTTTAAGACCTAGCAGGGAGGGGTTGCTAGAAATGACAGGTTTAAAGAGAGAGATCAAGTATAGGAGATGAGAAGGCAAGACAAAACTCACTTGAATGTGAGAATGAATGCAAAATCTCAACGGAAACACATTTGATGCACTGACATTAAAGGGGTTGTACTGAATATATAATCTTTGTGGATATATGCAGGGGGTTTTGTATTGTACAATAATCAAATGAGTGGTTCTTTGTACACTGATGGGGATCTCGGGAGAGCGCTAATGATCTAGATTTAAAGAGATATCAGCCCAGTTATGGACTGTGGCATTTGTCTGTTCCTGAAGGAATGCAATGTCAGAATAATACT